CTCTCTCTCTGTGCTTCTTCGCCATCGTCTCTTGCCGGAAGCTCTTACAAAATCATAGTCGAGAAACGTGCTAGACACTCGCATCGATTACAACTTTGATCGCGCTGTTTGTCACTTGCCGATTGGCGTTTTGGGTTCGTTTGGCAACTCTGTGCTCGGCAACTGTTTGAGAGAAAGAAAAACAAACGTCTCGTCTCCTATCAGAGGCGAGCTGACGATGCTTCTTCCCTTCACACACATTTGTCTCTCCACACAAACAAATACTGTCCAGGGTCTAGACTTGAATTTTTCGTGACTGCAATGATCCATACTCTTTGGTTCTTTAGGTAAAGTCACGTAGGTAAAAAATAAAAATCACGATGTTTCGGAAGCAACACAAGCTTCCGTCATCAAGCGGGACAACCACAGCAACATTTTTTTATGTTAATTTATGTAATTTTTATTTATTATTATTTTTATCTACGTGACTTTACCTAAAGAACCGAAGAGTACTGTCCAAGTATTATTCTATTGAGAATAGGGTTTTCCCCTCTTTTTTTCTGGCAACAAAATAGGTGTTAAGATGTTAAAACACCAAAATGAAACCTTTTACAATGAATCATGTTACTGCATTAACCACAATATTTGTGGTCAGAATGCAAACAAAAAACGCACTCTGGTAATATATGCATTGTCTTTGAAACTGATTGGTCTACACCAGAATCGAGTCTCAAGCTGTAAGCCTTTTGGCGTCCTCTGGTCGAACACCATTATGTATTATTATATTTCCAACACCATTCGACTCCCTCGGAAAACCATATCTCACATTTTTATTTTATTGTCCAGTCATTGGTGACCGGGCTGACCTCAACGGGAAAAAAAAACGAGACGGATAAAAACCGAATTCTTCAATCGAATCGCGGCCCTGGATTTGTGAAAAACTCCTCGAGTCCCTCTGTGGGGAGGACGGCAGAGGCGCGTGTTCGTCACGCAACCAACAGCTAGCTACCGATGAATGTTGAACTTCTTTCGCACCGTACGTTAGTCAACCGCGCTAATCGGAGGTGCGGGGGTTAGGACAACAAACTAAACACACGCAAAAAAAGCAGTTCCAAAGATTGTAGTTTGACAATCTAGATTAGGATTTAAAAGTTCGTAGTCCCAGCGGCTTCCTGATGCCAGATGGAAGAGCGTTCCAGACGGCCGCAGAAGCGCATCTGAGAGCGCGCGATGCAGTGGCCGCCGTCTTTGTTCGATTGTGAGCGAGGATGACCGGAGCTCACGTGATGAAGATCACCGCTCCGGGCTTGCGTTCGCGCTCCGAGCCGTTTGCTCGGGCACCCGAGTTTGAATCCCGACCATGGCCAACGCAACGTCAGTCGCGGGTGATATCTGAACCGTTCTCGCTGTCCCCCCATCACACCCACGCACCGCTTCACCAATTCACAATGAGCGGCATTGTGAGTTATGATCAAAGACAAAGACCCCCCCCCCCCCCATCGTATATCCTTAACAAACTGTTGAGGCTGTTATTGTGCACTTGTGAAGGCCGAAACGGCACACCTAGGTGGTTGAGTGGTCAACAACACGCCCAGCCGCCTTTGCCTCCCCACTGGCGATGTTTACGCACATTGCAGCGGGTACTAATTGACGTAGGGGAGGCCCTGGAACCTGTTTATACATTCGTCACCGATGGTGGCTGTGTGAGAGGGAATCGCCCACAAGAGAGCTGTCAAATCAGACGAGCGATGCGACTGCGCCCGCAGACACATCCCGAGATTAAACATCTCGCGAAATTCGAACGAGTTTTTCGTTTGATTGAAAAAAAAAAACAACATACGCACTCGCGTTTAAACTTAACACCGGTGTCATCTCGACACAGACATCGATCACGTGCGGTGTGCCCCGAGGGCGAAATGTCGCAAGGGTTTTGCAAGTGGACGAAATCTCTGGCTTCGGATTGGAGTCACCCAGCGCCCATCCCCAAATGCCCCCACTGCCAGTCATAGACAGGGACACTCCTCCATAGACAGAGACGCTCCTCCCGGGGGGGAAGGGGGGGGTGAGATCATTTTGGCATCTAGCCACTTCACATCGTCCATCTCGTTGCCTTATTTTATCCTCGTGATAACTGCGGAAACCGCACTGCCAAGTGTCATCGTGATTTATACTGTACCTAGGATCAGAGGCGTAATAGGGTGCAATGATATATCGGTTATTATGGATAATCAGTACATTGTACTCTCGGACACAGGATCCCAAAGTAACGTCATCAAGGCCCATCACGTTGCTACGTCTTTCCGCGGTTACCGATTTACTACCTTTCAGATACAAATTACAATCAGAAGCAGAAGATGTATTATTTATACTGCAGGAGGAATCCGATTAGCAATAAAGCTCTTTACTTCTCACAGATGTCCAGTAGGAGAGTCAGACCCCGCCTGATGATTGTGAATTTTATAGATAGAGCCGGTTAAAATTAAGATTTAAATATCGGTGTGTCCGTGTGTACACGTGTTCCACGTGTGTGTGTCGTGTCACACGTGTGTGTACACGTGTTCCACGTGTTTGTACACGTGCTCCACGTGTGTGTGAGTGTGTAGTGTCACACGTGTGTGTACACGTGCTCCACGTGTGTGTGTGTAGTGTCACACGTGTGTACACGTGTCCCACGTGTACGTACACGTGCTCCACGTGTGTGTGTAGTGTCACACGTGTACGTACACGTGTTCCACGTGTATGTACACGTGCTCCACGTGTGTGTGAGTGTGTAGTGTCACACGTGTGTGTACACGTGCTCCACGTGTGTGTGTGTAGTGTCACACGTGTGTACACGTGTTCCACGTGTACGTACACGTGCTCTACGTGTGTGTGTAGTGTCACACGTGTGTGTACACGTGTTCCACGTGTACGTACACGTGCTCCACGTGTGTGTGTAGTGTCACACGTGTGCGTGCTGTTAGCGAGTAGCACCACGGCCGATCGCCTTTGTCTGGCAGGGATCACTTAAAGTGGCCACGCCGAGCCCAGTGGGCCGGCGGATCCACGTGACATCGATAGTACGAAGCCCGGGGTCAGCCTGGCTAGCACAAGGTCACGGGGTCAGCCTGGCTAGCACGAGGTCACGGGGTCAGCCTGGGTAGCACGAGGCCACGGGGTCAGTTCTGATAGCACGAGGCCACGGGGTGAGCCTGGCAAGGACGAGGCCACGGGGTCAGCCTGGCTAGCACGAGGCCACGGGGTCAGTTCTGATAGCACGAGCAAGAGCCACGGCAATCGTCGGCACCGTGCCAAGGCAGACATCGGGTTTCCCCACGCCGCCAAATAGCGAAAATGTATCGTTTGCGAATTTAGTATTTGGCCAATAAAGGCGAGCGATGTGATAATCAACTTATATGAAGAAAATAAATATATTAGCTATCACACAATCACGTTACTCATCATTATTGCCCCGGGCAGAGACATTGGCACCACCCAGTGTTTGCAGAGTAGATTGAGATTGGTTGTCTATGATACAAGTCACAGTACTTTCCAGTTCGCCTTCACGTTATTGTGATGACCGTACGTATCCCTGGTATTTTTTGCAGATTATTATAAATATATCCGTAAAATCGTGAAGTATTTTGGAGTCTTGTTCTCCCTTGCAAGAGAGATCAGATTCATGTTCTTGGTTCTTTCGGTAAAGTCACGTAAAAGGGAAACAATACAATAATAAAAATATAAAACATTATTTTATTGTTTCCCTTCTATGTGACTTTACCGAAAGAACTAAGAAAATGAATCTCTACAGTCACGAAATCAAGAGATCAGATTGTTTGGTGATGCTGCAGCTGCTGAGTTTGCAGTGGTGCACAAGCACAATTAACAACACACGCTCAACACATTCCTCAATAATATATGTAACACGACACGGTTCGGGCAATGGCCCATCTTCATATCACATTAAGCATTTCACTTTTATGCACATCACATAATGTGTATGCGCAACAATGAAAAGCCATTTCCCGGACCTACGCCTAATGCATTTAAATATTTAAAGGCAGCAGTGGTGTTGACGAGTGAGTTGAGTTTAGTAGCAACAGAGACGATTAATCTGTCTCAACGGGTTAGGGCCTGTGGTTTAATCTCACGGCTAAGCATGGCCACATGAATATAATAACTGCTGCTACAACGTACAACAGCGGACCCTACAGGCAAAATTTTAGCAAGAGGAGATCCTTGGTTAAAGAATAATTTAAAAAATGTATGCAAATATACAAACCACCAGAATACCAACGCAACTGCCAGGGCTCACAACCAAAACGATTCCCTATGAACACTAACCCAGTTAAACGATTAACGCTGCAGTATTATACTAACACACACACAGATAAAACAACACAAACGTAATACATTCCTCAGTAACACTGTGCCCTTCATAGGAAAGTATAGAATGACGTACATAAGCGGGCGAATTGTACCTCTGCACCAGTCCGTCTCTCCCTGGTTCTTTCGGTAAAGTCACTTGACTTTACCGAAAGAACCAAAGAGTATGGATCCTTGCAGTCACGAAAACTTCAAATCTAGGGTTTCTCAGACAACCCATCAGCCGCACTGCCTTCTGGGGAGCGCGCAACATCAACTGCCTTGATTCCAGACGGGAAAAATCTGAACCGGCTTTGACAAACAGCAGCTCATCAGCAACAGAGTCAGGCTTTGACAAACAGCAGCTCATCAGCAACAGAGTCAGGCTTTGACAAACAGCAGCTCATCAGCAACAGAGTCAGGCTTTGCTCGAATCGGATGCTGGTGAGTTACCGATCTCGCGGGCAAGGGCCCCTTGCTTTGACGATATGGGTGCTAATTCGACGACGCAACATTTTGTCCTGAGCGTCGCCAAATTTGCACTCTAACTTCGACGGCAGTACAATGGTCATTGCCACGCACCTGGTTCAATGTCAAGCCAGAAGTAAGGGTCAGAGGCTCGTTGCACAGGTAAGACGGGGTTGTCAGGGTGTAAGGGTGTTCAGGGCGAGACGCACCTTCCATGCAGCACACCCGCCAGAGGCCCGAGTGGGTGAGCACCTCCTCGTTGCGCTTCACCGTCTCGTTGTCGGTGTTGGTGCGGTCCCGGCACACGCCGCGCGAATACAGCCAGAAGTCGGTGCCCACCGAGATCGCCATGAGCGTGAAGGCGGCGAAAGCGCCCGAGAGCGTGAGAACGCTCTGCACGCCACGATCCCTCAGCCGCATCATGGAGAGCATGGCGAGGAGGCGACGCGCGCCCGGCATACGGCTCCTTCGGCACGGGGCTGGTGGCTGATGGCGGGGGGGGGGGGGGGGCGGTCGGGGAGGGGGCCGCGGGGGAGGGGGGAAGAACGTGGAGAGATTGGATATGTACAAAAGTCGAGCCGATTTCTAAAGGAGATTTGTGCATAGCAATTTGTGCGGAGCGAGGTTTTGTGTGTGTGTGTGCGGGTGTCGTTTGTACACGAAGAGAGAGAGAGAGAGATTTGTACGTAGCCGCGTGCACAGAGCGGTTTGTGGGGAGTGATTTCTACACGAGTGATTTTGTACAGATGTCCACGTAACATTCACCACGGTTGATATTTATACGATAACTTTCACGGGGAGAGAATTTGTAAAAAAACAGAAATCAGTATTTGCACGACGTAATTCGTCCACTAAAATTTACACGCAGAGATTTTCCACCGAGCGATGTCTCCATATCCATATACGGCACACACACACACATACACGCGGCGATATCGTCACAGTCGTTTGTATGTACAGTCGAGGATCGTTGACCGACAAATTCACGTCGCTCCAGCGGGTCAAGGGCCCCGCTGTCCGAGCCGACGCCAGCGGCTTCACCGTGATCGTGGTGCCGCCGGTTGGCGCGTCTCTGCGAGCGTCCAGAAGCCACTAAACCATCGCTGCGACGTCGCTCTTCAACCAATGCCACCGCGCTCCCCGCATTTGCGTGGGCGAGACTGCGAGCGATTTGGAATTGACGCGTGCACGCGCGCCTCGCATCTGCGCGCACAAAATAAAGACAACGATCCCCCCCCCCCACCCAGTGTAGCCTTAACAGACTGTTGGGGCAAGTGCTGTTAGCGAGCACCTATGAAGGCCGACACGGCACGCGAGGGGGTGTGTGGCCAATACCACGCCCGGCCGCCTTTGTATACCCAGGGGCGATGTTTATACACCGCAACAAGTACTCATTTGAGGATGAGTCCACCTAGGGGAGGCTCAGGACCGGTTCTGACAGTCGTCACTGGTGTTGGCCGTGAGCGGGAATCGAACTCGGGCCGCCGGGTTCGTAGTGCAGCGCGCTAATTCTTCACACACACACACACACACTGGCTCTCACACACACACACTCACTCACACGCAGGGGTCAGGGGGCGAACCAGACGGGCCGAGCTCTCTGGCTCGCGGGTGCGTGCGTAAGAGACGGTTTCCGAAGAGCGTTGGTCTCTGATATCTACGCCTCCACCCAAACACTCCCGGATCTGTTTAACACGTAGGCTTTCGCGACCAATATTATTCATAATAAAGGTTTTTGGGTTAGATCGCGTTATTTATAAATGTGTCGTAACCCTCCACCACCCGACACGGCCAATCAGCAAAAAAGTGTCACGTTGACAAAAGACAAATAATTCACTACTTTAGCCCACCGGTGTGTTGAAGAGTGAATCCACAACATTTACAGTTTGAGTACGACGTTTCGCTGGTAATTACATCCAGCATCATCGCCATTCTGGCGAATTGTCCGATGATGCTGGATGTAATTACCAGCGAAACGTCGTACTCAAACTGTAAATGTTGTGGATTCACTCTTCAACACACCGGTGGGGTAAAGTAGTGATTTATTTGTCTTTTGTCAACGTGACACTTTTTTGCTGATTGGCCGTGTCGGGTGGTGGAGGGTTACGACACATTTATAAATAACTCCCGGATCTGAAGTATTATTGAACTATTTTAGATTTGACCAGGTAAGGCCCGCTGAGCTATGTAGCTCTTTTGCATTAGCGACCTGGCTACAAGTGATAGCTCAACGAAGTGGCTTATCACGTGGAAATGTATAGCAGCCAAAGACTACAGACGAATGTTTTTAAATGTTGACGGCAAAACCGGAGGACCCGGATAAAAATCCACGCAACCACGGGGAGAGAAATACAGCAGCCGTCACGATCGGGATGGAAACCATGACCTCCTGTATACCAGGCGAGGCACTTAACATCTCGTCACCGTGACACACACTCACAAAGGGGTCAGGGAGCGAACCATACGGGTCTAGCTCTCTGGCTTCGCGTGTGCGTGTGTAAGATAATGTTTACTCGGAGCGTTGGTCTCTGATCCCTCCGCCTGCATCCAAGAATTCCCGGATCTGACGTCGCGTCCCATCGCTACGTGACCCCGGGTGGCGCATTAACCACGTGACAATCGGCTGTGAATCGCGCGTGCCCGTGGCGCACGCCTCTGTCAATCTGCCGCTTTGGATGGAAGGGTTGGTGGATCACGTTGGATTATGTTGGGAAAGCTCGCAGACCTCGCTGCAAAGTGGGTTGCCCAAAGAGGATAAATGGAAGGGACAGCAGAGTGGGGTTCGTGAATCTGTCTGAGTGGACGTATTCTTGTCATCTCCACGCATGGGGGAGAGGGGGCGGTAAAGTTTCTCCGGGAATTCCGATGTCCTCCCGTCCACAAAGCCAGACGCTCCTGGATGAGAAGGGACTCGGTCAAACATCCCAAGGTACAGCAGGACCCTCCTCAAAGAGAGTCTTGAGACTCGGTGTGGTTTTCCTGGATGAATAAACCGACGTTATCCTTGCAGTCCGTTGGGAGTTGGTCATTTCCCGAGGGGAGGCTAAAACTAAACTAATTTCATTTTTGCCAGGTAAGGCCCACTGAGCTATATATCTCTTTTTCAGACGCGACATGGCCACAAATGATAGCTCAACGAAATGTTTTATCACGTGGAACTTTACAGCAGCCAGATACTCTAAAGTCGAAACGCACGTGGAGTCTAATTGTGGAGGGAAATATCGGAGGACCCGGGGAAAAATCCACGCGACCACGGGGAGAGAGACACGCAAACTCCAAATATAAAATTTTATTTGGAGCTTTCGTCACTGCAGGAATTACTCTTTGGTTCTTTGGTAAAATCACGTAGAAAGAAAAATACATTAAATAATAGCATACGACGTTTCGATTGCAACACACGCAATCATCATCAGGTACAAATGAAAGAGAAAACAATCCCAGTAAACTTAGCAATATAATGCAATACAACACAGAGAGTCGGCTAACATAACAGTCAACACTCTACCAGGTTGAGTTAACGTTCTTCCAAAGATTGCTAAATTTGAGAGAGAGACAAAACACAGACACGGAGACACACAGACAGACACATGAGCAGAGATAGACAACACAGAGACACACAGAGAGAGACACACACATAGACACACAGAGAGAGATAACACAGAGACACACAGAGAGAGACACACACATAGACACACAGAGAGAGATAACACAGAGACACACAGAGAGAGAGGCACACACATAGACACACACAGAGAGATGATACAGAGACACAGAGAGAGAGACACACACATAGACACACAGAGAGAGATAACACAGAGACACACAGAGAGAGACACACACATAGACATACAGAGAGAGATAACACAGAGACACACAGAGAGAGACACACACATAGACACACAGAGAGAGATAACACAGAGACACACAGAGAGAGACACACACATAGACACACACAGAGAGATAATACAGAGACACAGAGAGAGAGACACACACATAGACACACAGAGAGAGATAACACAGAGACACACAGAGAGAGACACACACATAGACATACAGAGAGAGATAACACAGAGACACACAGAGAGACACACAACATAGAAACACAGAACAACAACGCCTCTGTGTCGAGGCCTTAAATAGAGAGAGAGGGGGGCAGAGAGAGAGAGGGGGGGGGGGGTACAGAAATGAGCATGTCAATGAGAGATTTGGAGCTTTCGTGACTGCAGGAAATAATAGAGCTACAACACGATGACACACACATACCGAGAAAACACACAATCAAAAAGACTTCGTAAAATTTGGAAATGTAATGCAATGCAACACAGAGAGTCGGTCAACACACAATTAACGCGTAGCCTGGTTGATTACGTTCTTCCAAAGATTGCGAAATTAGAAGTTAAGTGTGAAATTTTGAGAGAGAGACACAGACAAAGACACGGAGACACAAAGACAGAAACACAAGCAGAGAGAGACAACAAATATAAAGGCGTCAGAGTCGGAATCGAACCCACAACCTCCTGTACACCCGGCGAGGTAGTTAACATCTGGCCAGTGCACCTCTTATTTAACAGTCACTCTCACGTGGCAACCGCAGGACAGGAGTCTGACGCTGGAATTTCGGGTATTTCTCTCTCGGAGACCCCGCTCTTCTAAGCCTTAAAACCACTCGCCCAGAGTCACAGCGTCGTTCCCATTTCGTGCTCCCGTCTCCAGCAAGAAAACAACAACTGTACCGGCGTCGCCTCTCCGCGCCGCCAAACGCCCGTCAATACCGGCGCGCAACGCCCACGACCCCGTAGAAAGTAGAGGCGGGACGCAACCGGGCGCGCCGCCACGCGCTAATATGGACCTGCCCCCGCCATCTCCACCTCCACTCTCCCAGACAGGCAGCCCCCCACCCACCCCGCACCGCCACCTCATCCTCCGCAGCCCTTTCCGTGAACGCCGCCTAAAGCCAATGGCCACGGCCACCGCCGGCAGCTGTGCGAGTGGCTCGCTGCGGGACATTAATGAGAGCGGGCTCGTGTCGCGGCCACGGCTGAGGTCATTTATTTTGCAACCTCACCCGCTCGGAGGGGGGGGGGGGTGTGGGGGAGGTAGTTGGAAGGGGGGGGGGGGGTGGTGGGAGAGGTTCAGGCCCCCTCTGCGCGGGGGACACGAGACCCCCGTCAGTCACGGTTCCCTGGTAGTAATTCATTGGGTCGTAGAGCCCAGCTGCTCGCAATTAAATGGAACCGGTGGTCAACATACTGGCTCCAAGCCGGTGTCGGCACCACCACCACCAGCACCACCGGCACCGGCACCACCACCACCAACTCCACCAACACCACCACCGGCACGACCACTACCGGCACCACCACCACCGGCACCACCACCACCACCACCCACCGGCACCACCACCACCACCACCGGCACCACCACCACCAACTCCACCAACACCACCACCGGCACGACCACTACCGGCACCACCACCACCGGCACCACCACCACCACCACCACCCACCGGCACCACCACCACCACCACCGGCACCACCACCACCACCAACTCCACCAACACCACCACCGGCACGACCACTACCGGCACCACCACTGTTGCGCCACGCGCTCGCTCGCTGATGGAGGTGCGTGCGGGGAATTCGAGACGGGGACGCGCGCGTGCACAAGCACGCACGCGTATCACGCGCGCGCATCAAACGCGGCATTTAAATGAAAGCGGTAAAAAAATATATATCCAACAATCCCCTTCAAAGCCGGAGCTCTAATCGCCTGTGTGGCCGCCATTCCTCCCAGCACCGCGGATTTCCCGCGGTTCCCTGAGTTTCAGCTGTTAAAAAGAACACACACACAGAACAAACACACACGCACACACAACAAACACACAAACACATACGACAGCCGCCCTCATTCTGAGCCACAGCCTTTAATTGCGGGCAGCCCGTAACGAGACGTCTGAGCCACGACCAGATTGAACCGCGAGAAAGCCTCGCTTATTAATGAGTCGGGGCCGTTGTGAGTCTCGCTGAGCCGCGCGCCTTTCGTGAGCCCACTCTAAGCCACGCGTACGCCGAGCCACCTGCTCTGCGTGAGCCACACTGAGCCACTGCGAGCCACGCGCCGTGCGTGAGCCACGCGCCGTGCGTGAGCCGCGCTGAGCCACTCGCTCTGCGGGTTACGCTCAGCCACTCGCTGTGTTAAAGCCGCGTGAGTCGAGTCGCGTCGATAGCCGCCGCTCACTTTAGCATTCACATCTCGTAGCGTCCGGGCCACGCGAGTCCGCTACCCTTTGCGCATTTTAAGTGAATAGACACTCGCACGGATACAAAGACAAAGATCCCCCGTGTGACCTGCACAGACCGTTGGGACAAGTGGAGGCCGGGACGGCACACGAGGTGGTGGGTGGCCAGCACCACACCCGGCCGCCTTTGTCTCCCAAGTGACGATGTTTATACACCTCACCAGGTACTCATTTGAGGCTGAGTCGACCTGGGAGAGGCTCAGGACCGGTTCAGATAATCGTCACCTGGTGTTGGCCGCGAGCGGGAATCGAACTCGGGTCGTCAGGTTCGTAGCGCAGCGCGCTGACCGCTACACGACCACGTACACACATACACACACGTTCCCACATACGCACAGAAACATATATACATTCAAATATACTCACATACACACGCACACACAATGTTTCCGTCTCCACACACGCATACATTCATATACACACATATATTCATATACACATATATATTCATATACACAAAGACAACATTCTTCCGTATAGCCTGAACAGACTGTTGAATAGCACACGAGGGGTCTACACCACGCCCGACCGTCTTTGTATCCCGAGTGACGATGTTTAAACACCCTACCAGCTTCTCACTTTAGACTGAGTCTACCTAGGGGAGGCCCAGGGCCCGTTGCGATAATCGTCACTCGGGTCGCCGGGTTCATAGAGCGCTAAACAACCGGTTCCAACACAAAGACACTAACACACAAAAGACAAATATCCACCACATCGCGTCCATGCTGTCGAGACAATTTTAGTTCGCGAGATCCTGTTAAAGTCACACACACTAACAAAGATCCACCGTATAGCCTTAAAAGACTGTAGGGGCAAGTGCTGTTAGCGAGCACCTATAAAAGGCCGGCACGGCACACGCTACACACACATACACAACAACAACCGCAATTCGCCACTAAGTAGCGGTGACGTCACCACGACGCTTGTGCCAGGCTACGTGCACGTTGAGGCCACGTGAAGTGTCGAACGCCCGCCCGCAGGAGGTCACGGGGCAAACCCAGGTGCCACGGGTCAACTGACTGAGATGATTGGCTGATGCACCACCTGTGCCCCCTACTGTGCCACACATACACACACACACGTGCACACACCCGCGCGCGCACGCGCGCATCACGAATGCTCGCTGCTCACCGTTCAGGAGCGGGGTGCGCTTGGACCGCGCCCGTTCAGCCTCTCCCCTTCGTCCCGTCCGCCTCGTCCATCGCCGGTTTCGCGCGGAGCCGCGACGCGCGCCCCCCGTCTCCGTGAGTCCCCGCTCAGCAGCGCCGCTCGCAAACTCGCCTCGGTCAGCCTCGGCGACGACGGCCGAACATCCGCGGGGCGGCGGAGACCGCGGCGGAGCCGAGTTTGGTGCTAGCGGTGCTGGCGGTGGGTGCTGTGATCCCAGCGAACGAGAGCGAGCGAGCCACGCTGGAGCAAGCGAGCTGTGCCAGCCACTCAGCGAGACCCTCGCCGAGGCAATGACGATCGCCAACGATTCACACCGATAGTCCTCGGCAGTCGCAGCAGCAGCAGCATCAGAGGCGCCCGCGACTAAAGCGACTCCCGTTACCGCGGCCGGAAGGACGATGATGAGGAGGAGGAGGAGGCGAGTGGACAAGAGGAGGAGCAGGAGCCTAGGAGCTCCAGGTGCCGCTCACCGGCTCCGAGGAGCTGTGCTCGCTCGAGTAGAAGAGCAGGAGGATGATGATGTCGAGAAGGGGTCGCGCTCACATGAGCCTCACCGGCTCGGGGAACGCGAGACGCGCGCCCCGGGGCGGTGACGGGAGCGGCGGTGGCGGCGGCGGCAGCGCGCTCCGACGCGCCGCTGCCATTTGACGGTGGCCGTGAACCCGCGAGGAGCTGCGCCGTGGGTTTGCGACTCACGCTCCGTGCAGACATAAGATCGCCACTGATTGTTCCCCTCCCGTGTCTCCCGGCCCCAAATGGGCTTCGAGACGCTCACCTCCTCCTCCTCGGCGAGGGATCGTTCCGCTCGGCAGACAGAGCGCGCCCTGACTCGAGAATTCGCACCCAGCGCCGCGTTCCCTCGCGCCCGCCACCGACAGCTGACGGCCGAGGTCGGAGCACCTTCGCGTCAGCATTATTTATTTATTTATTCCAGTGGGGAGAGTCGAGATGAACCAGACGCCGAGACACACACAAACACCCCTCCCCCCCCACACAACCATGCGTGTGAAGCAATGGTAGAGTCCACGGATCGCTTTGTTCCAGAGATGGTCGCGTCACGTGAGCCGAGACGGTCCATTACGTCGGGCTCGGGGGGGGGGAGGTGTGGGGGGGTTGGAGTGGGGGGTGAGGGCCATGCGGAGGTACGTGCAAGAATTTGCGAATCGATTTTCTCGCCTCAATTCGTGACCCAACTTCGTAACGTGAGCCGCCGCGTTAGATTTACGACGCGCTGAACGAATTCCACGCACCGGCCACGTGTACTTACAACGAGATCCTCGCCGCCGCGGAGACGTTATCGGATTCTTGGGCTAAGTGCCGTGTGGTTAGCGAGTACGGCGCACGGGGCGAGGTAGTGTGGCCAGCACCACGCCCGACAGCCTTTGCCTCTCCATTTTTTTTTATACACCGCACCAGGCACTCATTTGAGGCTGTGTCGACCTACGAGAGGCTGGGAACCGGTTCAGCTATTCGTCACTGTCGCCGGGTTTGTAGCGCAGTGCGCTAACCGCTGCGCCACCGCTCCCCGGTGGTTGAACACACACACGTGGCGAGCAGCAGAGGGGAGCGCAGCACAATCCAATGTTGTACTTACTTCTATATTTCTATGCCCCCCACGATCGAGCAACCTGCCAGACCCGCACATCACACGCGTGCACCCCACACGCACACGTGTAGCACGTCACACATGTGGACCACACACGCACACGTCTAGCACGTCACACATGTACACCACACACGCATACGTGTAGCATATCACACGTGTGAACCACACACGCACACGTGTAGCACATTACAGGCGTACACCACACACACACGCATGCACGTGTAGTACATCACACATGTGCACCACACACACACGTGTATCATGTTACACGTGTGCACCGCACCAAAGATGAAGATCCCCCTACAGCCTTTAACAGATCGTTCGGGCAAGTGCTGTCAGCCAGCACGGCACACGACGTGGGTAACCAACACCACGCCAGGTACTCGTTTTAAGGCTGAGGCTACCTAGTAGAGGCACAGAACCGGCTCAAATATTCGCCATTCATACTGGTCGTGAGCGGGAATTTAATTTGATTAAGGCCGCGTTTCACAGCGCAGTGCGCTAACCACTGTGGTAACCACTTCGCCACTGCTCCGCACGATCTCCGTAAGACAAAGACAAAGATCGCCCGTATAGCCTTAACAGACTGTTGGGACGAGTGCTATGAGCGAACAACTGTGAAGGCCGCCACGGAACACGAGGGGGTGGATAGGCAGCACCACGCCCGGTCGCCTTTGTCTCCCTAGTGGCGATGTTTACTCAATTGAGGCTGAATCGACCTAGGAGAGGCCCGGACCAGTTCACAATAACAGTCAATGGTGTTGGCCGTGAGCGGGAATCGAACTCGGGTCACCGGGTTCGTAGCGCGGCGTGATAACCGCTACACTGCCACTCCCCACGCACACCCACACACCCAAAGTCACCCACACACACCCACGCTCACTCCACACTCACCCACACACACCCCGCACACACCCACACTTACACCACACACACCCACAGTCACCCCACACGCACCCACAGTCACCCACACATCCACACACACCCGCACTCACCCACACACACCCACCCCAACACGCACGTGCGGCGATGTTGCGCGTGTGCGCGCATCGCGTAAATCCGGGGACGATTTCTGAGAGATCGCAGCCAAAGGAATTTGTGCGAGACGAGCGAGGAGGGGAGCGCGCGCGGCTCTTATTAATTTCCTCCGCGGCGATATTAAATCATGTACACGTCAGAGTGCCGCGTTGGCGCCGTGGGTGGCGTGTGCTTAGGGAAGATGAGGATGGATCTGTCCATAGCCAGCACGCGCAACGCGCAGCCAGACGAGACGCGCGCGGCGACAGAGGAACGGACGAGGCGAAGTGGCCAGAGGATCCATAGGGAAGAGAAGTGCTGCCCCCCCCCACCGCCCCCCCCCGCTCCACTCGACCCCACCCCCTACCGACGACGGTGGATGATGATGTGCATGTGCCGCAATCAGAGGACATAACGCGCACTTCGCCGCAAATGCACACGGTAGTAATGCACAAAACGGAGACCCACTCACTGGGTCTTGCTCGTTCGCTCGCTCAGACACCCAAGACAAAGATTCCCGTCTTGGGGTCTTTAACGGGCTGTCGGGACAAGCGGTGGTTCGCGAGCACCTCGTGAAGGTTCGCACGCGCCTCGCTTGGGAGCGGGTGCTCAGTTCGACGCACGGCCGCCTTTGGCTCTCCAAATGGCGATGCTTACACGCCGCACCAAGTATCAATTTGAGGCGGAGTCGACCTAGAGGAGTCCCAGGACCGGTTCAGATATTCGTCATTGTTATTGGTCGTGAGCGGGACTCGAATTACCATCTCCGGGTTTGTGGCGATACGGTAATAAATATACGCATGAATATAGACACCCAACTCCACCATGATCCTTCATTACCTCCCTCCCTGCCACCCTCCCTCCATCTCTGCCTCCCTTTCTTCGTCCATGTCTTCCTCCCCTTTCCATCGCTTTCCTGCCTATCCTGGCATCTCCCTCCACCCTCCCTCCCTCCTTCTACCCCCCCCCCCCCAATTCCCCTTCCCTCCCCCGCACTGTCGCTGCGCGCTGCGCTCATCCTGACAGCCCATTATCGGGGCTCGCGGCGATCACGTCGAGTGCCACGGCCCCTCCCCTCTCCCCCGCCCCGCGCCCACCCAGCCCTGCCCTCCTCCTTCCCCCTCCCCCTACCTAACCCTTCGCGTACCCCGACTCGCCTCGAGGGGTATTGTGAGCGACGTCCGCGTGCCGTGGTTGAAGGGGGGGGGGGGGGGGCGCGGGAAGGAATCCGCGCGAGTGTCGTGCGGCCCACCGCTTCGTCCCTAGCTGCTAACGGGGCCCTCCACCCCGTTGCACAACCCCCCCCCCCCTAGCGCCCTCACCCCTTTCCCTGAATGTAAATGACGCGGAGAAGTTAGGGGGGAGGGAGGAGGGCTGAGGAGGAGTGGGGGCAGTGAGGGGGAGGGCGAGGCGGGGGTGGGGGGGGGAAGGTCATACGCGCAGCTCACAGAGCCTCCTCGCTCGCCCGCCCGCTCGCGCTGAGCGTCTCCGTGGGATTTGGCTCCGCACCTCCGTCTGGCGCCGACTCGGGTCTGGGAGGCCTTCACCCAGCAGTGGATGGACCGTGGCTGATGACGACGACGACGATGATAATGACGAGCTCCCCGCACCGAGACTCACGTGCCGGCGATCCTACGATTGATGTGTTGACGTCCCGCGCTTAAGCGGCCGAGCGAGAGTCACGTTAACGATCATTTTCCAGGAGGGGCTGTATCGGCCACAGTGGTTTACGTTGCATCATTGCCTTTTACAATTTGCAGCCGTGAACCTCTCAGCACACAGCGGTCTCGTGTTGCGCTGTGGCGTCACGGGGTCATTAGTGTTTGCCGTCTCCCCGACTCGCCCTCCACCCCACCCTCTGTCCTACCCTCCCCCACCGAATAAGTGACATGCTCCGCACGCAGACCCCGCGCGCTCCATCAACCCCACGGACACGCGGCCGCGCGCACGCCGCGCTCATTAGAGGTCGTCGTGGTCGAGCGGCGGTGGCTGCGCTGCACGTGGCTGCCTGTCACCGAGGCAGCGGCAGCAGAGGGTTGGTGGATGGCCACACAAAATGTTGTGGAACTCCCCTTTCTCGTGGGTAGGCGTCGATGAGCGGCCGTACCTTGGCTCGCCACGAACGTGCAACGCAGAAAATTGAGGACTCCTCTCAATCTGCGCCATCTCTATGGGATAGAGTGCTGCCCCCCCCCCCTCGCAGGCGCGGGTTTCATCCTGGGGCTCCGGTGCCCCCTCCCCCCTACCACGTGTATAACCACTCGTTAATCGGACTGAAAACATATTTAACACTACATAGAGGACCGCAGAACTTGGGCAATTGATGGTGTCGCCGGCTCACCGCGTGGCTCCTGCTACCCTCCCCGCTCGTCTGTGCTTCCACCTCGCGCCTCTGAGTCGTCCTCTCTCTCTCCCTGAGAGAGCGAGCGAATGCTGTCGGGCAGGGCGACAGTTTAGCTCCACGTGGTGGGAATATTTTTTTTCACATCCTGAACTTCCAATTTTTTCGCATTTCCCGCCGACAAAGATGCTTCCAGCACGTCGGGCGCGAAACGTCGGACATCTTGCCGAGGAACACGTTAAACTCGTCAAGGAGCATAGACCACCACGTAAACTCCGGTCATCATCGCAGCAGCGGCGGCTTTTGGCTGGACATCGAACAAAGACGGTGGTCACCTCATCGCGCGCTTTCATTTGCTGTTCTGCGGCCGTCTGGAACGCTCTTCCTTCCGATATATCAGGAAACCACTGGGGCGATGCACTTTTAAATAATCTAGGTTGAAAACTAATTCATTTTCAATAGCTTTTTGTGTTTAGTTTGTTGTCCTTCCCCCAGCATCTCCGATAAGCACGGTTGTCTACGTGCAGTGCGAAAGAAGTTCAATATACAGACATGCATACGCTGCGTCACCCAAAAGCACGTCGCGGAGTCAATTTGTCATCGAATATTTGCAGGGTCACCGGTAGGCTGTGCCCGTTAACAGTAGTCACGCTCACAGCAAAAGGTGCATACTGGATGTGGTGTGCCGGACAGACTCGGCTGAAGGTAAACCCTGAGTATGGGGCGTACACGGCTGCCGCGGTGCGATGATAAACTCACTGGACTTGCATTCCTGAGGTCACCGGTTCGATCCGATCTCTCGGCGCGGCAGTCGAAAGGATGGAAATCGTTGATAAAATCCCGTCGCTCCTGTCCGCCCAGCAGGATAGACGGGTGCATCGCAGTTCGTCAATCAGCGGCAGGTGGTAGGGTAAAGCGTGGGTAACTTACACCTCTTCCAACGCGTGTGGCCAACGCGGAGCGGGAGCAGCGGTTGTGTTCAGTGCTTCACTCGGCCTACCCGAGAAGCCCCCTCTGGTTGAGGCACCCTCCGCCTGACGAGGCGTGAGCAGG